CCTGTTAATCGGAGTTTGGTCTGGTGGTTGTGGGAGTCGGAGTACATTCAATACCCCAATTGCTAAAGGCCTCACGACTTCATACTCAGGGCTTATCAGTCCGTTTGCTTCAACTAACTGAATGCTTTTATTTCTAAACGAAACTCTGGGTAAACAGTTTGATACAGACGCAACTAAATCACCACCTGAGCATGTGAATTCGGCTCCGGCAAGTAACCAACCCGCCTTGCCTTTGATTTTATGACTGCCTGAACTCCATATTCTTATCAACAAGCAGACTGGATGGTGATGTAGAGGAGTTCGACTTTCGAAGCCAGTTCCCGGTGATACCTCACAACAAATAAGGTACCAAGTGTAGTCTGCATATTTACCCGAACAGTTCCTAATAATTAAATCCAGCATCGGGAAGCCCATGTCGGGGGCGCATGCTCGAACTCCCTAAACGCACTTCGAGCATATCTGTTAGAGAAGTAGAAAGGTTATCTGCGGGGAAATGCGCAGACTGCTGTCCCAACGCACTGACCAACACCTCATCGTCATTTCACGGCTGATATCGCCATACTGATCCTTATTTTCCAGGCATTGTCCGAGACAGTCGTTTCTAATAGAAGCGAAGAGACGAGACCCAGGAAGCAGCCGTGCAGAAGGAGACACGATCGTTGGGACATGAGCTTTATTCACCTGACGTTTCGGATTCCTGCTCGAATCCATCATCAGAGACAAAAGAAGATAAGTAAATCACCGCCAACTATGCTCTTCTGCATGAGCATGTAGATTCGGCTCCGGCAAGTAACCAACCCGTCTTGTCTTTGATTTTATGACTGCCTGAACTCCATTTTCGTATCGCTGTTGCCGCAGTGGAAGAAAAAAGCTGTAACCTCCTGCTCCGGCGTGAAAAGTCTGGCCTCTAGTGGGGACTGAAGTGGACTGGCACGTTGGTGACCTGACGGAAGAGGAAGGAATTGTCGTGGAACCGGGGATTTTCAATTACCAACACACGTGGCTTCTATTCACTGGCAGCCAGTAAAGTACGAGCGCACTTAAGCCCGTAATCAGGAGAGTTGCGGTTGCCATATCTCCACTCTCAGCCTCATGACGTGTTTCATGCCCCCTCCCCCCACCCCGTCACCACCACCACCACCACCACTGCCGCCATCGTGAGGTCGAATATGATAATGTGCGGCGTCGAAGTTCGGAGTCTGTCGGGGGACGAGAGGCTTGCCGAAAGAGGAGAAGAGGGGGTGGTCGACTGCTGAGAGCCCCACGCGTCGAAAAGGACTGATGTGTTCCTCTCTCAGAAGCGTGAGGCGTTTGCCGTTTCCGTCGGTTGCTGTCGCACCAAGTAGCCTGGCAACAGAGTTCTGGCGACCTGACCCGAATCATTAGCCCCCAGGGGCGTGTGGGAGAAAGAGTGAAGACTGGATGGACTGTCTCAATAGGGGGGGAGGCTTAATGGTAAATCACTCCGACAGTAGCGAACAGTCTCCCGCGGCCTAATTAACAATGAGGGTTGTGGGGCGAGAGGGAAGGAAACGGTGGTGTGGCTAGCGGATGAGACAATAAGCTGTGCAATCATTCACAACCCCAACACAGAGTCTGCTGAAAGCCGATTGCGCCTTCCATTGACCACTGAGTGAGTTGATTAATCATAAAGGGCTCCTTCAGTCGTATTTACTCAGCCAGACAATATGTTTATAGGACCCAACACCACGGACAAAGCAATGAGAGCTTCACTCGTGGATCGGTACCCGTATTGTAGGTCCGGTTACCGTGTTTACTAATGGCCTTTTATCGCCTGAAAGAAGCAGGAACGGGTAGATTAGTACCCAGTTTTGACCAGGTAATGTTTAAAATGTTATATGTCCAAGTACAAGAAGCAAGGTTAAGGCAGTCCTGTTGCCATCTATGGGGTTCATTCAGGCGCCCAGCGAGAGAACACCAAAGTACCCTGAGTTAGAGCCTGAGACCTTTGTAATATAATTGTGTTGAGAAACGCAAATCAGTCATCAGACGGGCTATCTGCAAACCTGGGCGTCTTCTCCTTGGACAGGAAGCCGGCTCGCGTTAAAATCTGTACTCGGCATGATCCGGAATGCAAAAAGTGTCGGTAATTTCGAGTAAATAAATTAGCAACGGGGAAGTGTATTGCCGGTCATACTTGCAAACTACAGCACCGATTAGATGCTCTTTGTTGCCCAAGACGTTTTAAAGGTGGATGTTCTATGAATCCAGGCGTTTAAGATATCAGAGTGTCCAGTCCGGGCTCGACTCAGTCTCCTCACGACACCGTCTCGGAAAGTGTCCTCTGCGAAGTAAATCCTTAACTGACGGCCTTGCTGGTGTCTTTTGATGCAAAAGGCGTCAAAGGGAGGGCCGAGTGAAAAAAACGTGCGTTTCTACAGGCACCTCAACTTTTCACCTATGACTAACCATCATGCCACGCGCAGCGACGACCAAGTTATCATCGGTGAGGTAAGATGCACCGACGTGACAGGACGATCGAAAAATCGGTGACGTTGACACACTCTGTCTTGAGCATCACACAGTCTCTTATTGTTGCTTTTCAATTTCCTTAGAAATCCACTGAGAACTTGGAATAGGTCAGTATATTTAAGGTCTATAGGCTCAGACCAAATAATTTTTGCACGAATATTTGGGCGGCCATACACGCCTGTTTCGCCGATATTCTGCCGCTGCATGACACAGCTGCGAGGGGTTCGGCTCATCAGTGGTTCCCCCAGAATTCCCTGTCTGCTTTCTGGCAGATACTCCAAGTTAGAAATTGTTGCTTTTTAATTTTCTTAGAAATTAACTGAGAACTTGGAGTAGATCAGCATATTTAGGGTCTATAGGCCCAGACCGAAGTTTTTATGTATGAATATTTGGACCGAAGTCCATCAGCCACAGTGGATAACCGCGTTACATTCCTTAACAGTCTCTTACTATCGCACACGATTTCGCCCAGAGTATACGCAAACTTGTGCTCGCCGTAGGTATTTCGTTCACCAACCAAAGGTTCCATAGAAGCTACCCCATGGCCGCCGTTTGGCGTCCTGCTTCTAAGAACGACGTGTCGTAAGTATCAGGATGTACCAGCCCGTCTCTTTCGCTCCCTCTCTCTCTCTAGTCCTTTTCTTCAGGAGAGAACTGAAATCTCACGATTCCTCGGCCGAAATGCTATAAATGATCGAAGTCCGTTCGGATTCAATCGTAACCCTTGAGACGCGCGCAAAGGGAAAAAGACACTCATTAAAACACTCACTTCAGACTTTTGACGAGGCGATGGTTGTGGAATGCGACCGATGCTACTGGCAGCACCGTGTAGTTAGCTGCATGATTTTAGGCTCGGCCATTTAGTCACTGAAACTGCTTATTAGTGAATTAACACATAGACTTGACCGACCGTTTAAGTTGTCTGCCCTTAAATGTGCCTGCAAGGGCTAACTGATCTGTACTGAATCATAGTTCTGCTTATTTATGGGGTAAAATATGCTCCCGGAAAACACTGGTAAGATGACACATGCTAGTGGAACATCTGATTAGATACCAGACTGTAACTGTAAGAACAAACAAAGTTTTCAAAAATGAAAAGGAAAACTATAAGCGTGGCTACTGTACATGGCTTTTCCTTGGTAGGTTGCTTTTTTTCAATTTACAGGGTGCGATTCCACGTCGACCCAGGAGAAGCCGGAAAATAACACCAAAATTGTTGCATTTGTTTGTGTTCGACAGCTTAGGTAGTGTAGTCTACTGTCCATTAAAAACAAACTGAAAAAACAATAAAGAATGGATATTCGCGCGGAAAATGCCTGAGATGCAATCGCTTTTAGCCAATATCCTTGACATAATGAAACTCCAGCCCTTCAATTCCCGGTTAGGCAGTAAAAATGCAACAAGAATATATAACCATTACCCCCCTCCAGTGTAAATTTGTGGTCTTGTGTGGGCTTTCTGTAGCCGCTTGCTGATCTCCACAGTTGAGAATATCGTGGGCGGTCCTCCTTTTTCGGGGGGAGGGGGGGGGGTAATAGCAACCTGTTGACGGACCTATTTGTTGTCCAACCCAGATGAGATATAGCGGACGCGTCCACACCAAACGCGTCGCAGCCAGGACGTGTGCGAGCTTTGTGCGGAAAACCCTCGGAGTCGCCATACTGGTGCTAGGAGGAACTGACAGTGCCCTCCCCCCCAGTCACGCGCAGCGGGCACTGTCTACATGGATGTAGCGCAGACTGCTCATAGTACTTTTTGTTACCATGGCACACCCACGCAGACTGGGCGGCCCATGACCTCGTAATGTGCTGGTCCGCTACCAGTCCGAGCTCGTTTGTGGATGCGGCTGCTTCTTCACAAGCCTGCGTATGCAGTAGATACCCTAGCCTGTCCCCGGTCTTGTTGACATTGTCTGCCAGACAGAATAGCATGACTGACAAAGACAAGGGACACTGGACTGGTCATTTCTGGCTTATTAGCCGTCGTCAGCCAGTCATAGCCAACCTCGAAGTGCGGAGCACCCGGGACTCGATCCCGCGACCTCCTAGTTAAGAGCCACTGAACCACGGGTTCGTTTTCCTGTCGGTTGCGATGAGAAATATACAGTGGTAGAGGGGCGCTCACTGATTGTTTCTACGGAACTCACTCGTCCCGTTGTGCCTTACGGGCTCCCTCTCTCGAGCCCAACCAGCAGCCGCGCAGCGGCGCATGATATAGGCAGTATGGTATTACCGACAAAGACAAGGGAGACTGGACTGGCCATTTCTGGCTTATTAGCCGTCATGAGCCAGTCGTGGCCAACCTCGAAGTGTGGAGCACCTGGACCTCGATCCCACGACCTGTTGGTTAGAAGTCCAACGTCCCGGTCACAACCGACAGGACAACTAGCCAGTGGCCCATTGATTAGAGGAGTTGGACTTCCAACCAACAGGTCGCGGAATCGAGCCCCAGTTGTTCCAAATTTCGGGGTTGGCTATGACTGGCCGACGAAGGCTAATAAGCCAGAAATGGTCATTCCAGTCTTCCTTGTCTTTGTCGGTAATCCTATTTTGCCTATATTACGCTCGGCTGTGAGGCTGCTGGCGGGGCTCAAGAGAAAGCCCGTAAGGCACAACGGAACGAGTGAGTTCCGTAAGAACGATCGGTGAGCGCCCCTATCATTGTCTGCCAACGCAACAAGGCGGTAGGGGAGGACAGAGTGCTTGCAGCAGATGCGACGAAAGTCCACCCCGCTATAAGCCGATTCACGCGCAAATCTCCGCTACTGCGCCCACTCCGCAAGGATCACCGTGGACTTTGCCTTCCGTGACGACCGAACTTTCGACAGACGCCTCTTGAACCCACAGCGGGTTGCTGGATCAAAAGCAAGGGCTCACGGCGGGCATTTATGGTGTCGCGCTGAATCCATGCAAGCTGACAACCACTGCTGTACCAGGGTTTAGTGGCACTCCTTAGGCGTATGGAGGCCTTTACACTGCACCAGTCACTGTGCTTAATCCCACCCCCCGCCCCTTGGAAGTGGGACCGACACTAGAGAATCCATTCTTACGGCACACCAGCGCATTCCTCACTAATAATAAGTTTGGTGCGCTGGAATCTATCAAGACGTGCTATCGGTCGTAGTTAAGATGGTTGCCAATTGACGGGACAAGTAGGCTGTTCTCGGGAAAGAAAGGCAGGCTGCGACGGCTCCTTCCTGATTCAACCTTTAGGGGCATTCACACGCATGTGAAATTCTAGTCGCCCCCATGAAAGTCCGGCAAATGTAATGGGAACCAGGTCGTGTGTATGGTAGGTGTAGAGGAGTTGTCTAACTTTGTCGGACGCCACGCCCACACCTACCTCCACTGGCTTCGACATTGTTTTGCCATCGTAGCCTCTTGGGTGAGGGAAGAGAGTGTGTATGGTAGGTGCTACGGAAGTCCACCTCACTATGAACTAACATTGTATATTCCCGATCGAAAACCGACAGGGCAACGGGCTCGTGGCCCGGTGGGTAGAGGCGTGGACTTCCAAACCAACAGGTCGCGAGTTCGAGGCTCGGGTGTTCCACACTTCGGGCTTGGGTATGGCTGGCTGACGACGGCTAATAAGCCAGAAATGGCCATTCCAGTCTCCCTTGTCTTTGTCGGTAATACCATTCTGTCACTATGAACTATTTAACATGCAAGTCACCGGTGTTGCGAGCACTCCGTGAGGTGTCGTCAACCCCAACGGTTGGACTGTCGCATAAGTGCGCATGGGTGGGCCTTAACGGCCCCACCAGACGGTCCCAACAGCGAATCAAAAAAAGGATTGCTCGAGTTGCGGCCACGTTGCACGATCTGGTCGGCCTGAGAGCGCGCGCCCACGAGGGGGAGGGGGGGGGGGTCAGGAAGGGGACCGATGACGGTGCGACTCACGTGGTCGCCCTTATTGCTGGCACCTGTGGGACGGGTGTCAATAGAGGCCATTATATTGCCCACAAGGTGGTTGTCGAGTCTGCCTATTTTGATCGTCGCCTCGTCGACCAGTGGGACAAGTAGATTGGTTAATTGCCTCATCTGTCATCATCCGAGGTCTCTCATGCGGATCACCGAGCCTTTATTACGGCGTCCCGTCATATTCCGCAGTGGCAGTTGAGGACAGCCGGCTAATTGAGGACGAGGAGTAGAAATGTTGGTGCGGGGGGGGGTGAGTGAAAGCTAAGCGAGGTCCCCGAGTTCGTTTCATCCTCCTCTATCCACATCCGTCCGACCGTCCACGTGGCCTACGCCGAGCCTTTTTTGACGAAATGGGTGAAAAGCAGACAAACAGGAGGGGCGAAAAAGACAAAGCCCTTCGTCGTTTGGCGAAGGCCGTGAACAGTGGAGGCGACCGATGATGCTGCCGCTGATGGTGTTTTTGTTGTTGTTGCTGATGATGATGATGATGATGATGACGACGACGACGACGACGACGATGATGATGATGATGCCGACGACGACGACGACGACGACGACGATGGTGTTGATGATGATAGTGGTGGTGGTGGTGGTGATGGTGGTGGTGGTGGCGGTGGTGGTGGTGGTTATTATGCTTCTGGCTATGTGTTAATTTCAGCACTTTGAGCAACATGCAGGCAGTAGTCTCTGTCCCCCACGAGAGCTGCCTCCACTGCGGTAGAAATTAATCTATATACACAAAAAACTCGCAGTCTGGCATGTGGCTTTAGTATTCAGTAAATCTGCATCCATCAGTTTGGTCCACATGCCGGGCGAAATGCTCGCGATCCGTTGTGCTCTAACCTTCAAGCCTGGTGTGATCGCAAACGGGCACACAGCGGCGAGGACTGTTGTTGAACAACTAGGGGGTTGAGTAACCATCTAGGTCTTACGGACCTTCGTCAGGCAACGGGGATCTAACCCCACACTGCGGTTCGAACCTAGGACCAACTGGCCGTTGAGCTTAAAGCTATGCCCTTTGGACCGTGGACTCAATTCCTCTCTCTCTCTCTCTCTCTCTCTCTCTCTCTCTCTCATCTCTGATTAGTCATATTAAGCATCACGCTGGAGTAGTTTTCATCGGGGTAGTCTGACAGCAAGACGGGTCCGGGTACAAGTGGTCTTGTGCCAAATTCTAAGAAGGGGACAATTTCTGTGTCTAAACTTTAGCCCTAGTTTTAACTCTCCTAAAAACTACCCCCCAACCCAAAAGCTAACCGCAATCCTAACTCCTAGCGTAACCACAACCCTAAACCTAACCCCAGTCCCCATTTCCCCCAGAACATGACGCTCAGTCGCCTGCAATACGGGGATACTTACTCCCTGAGACGGATCCGCCGGCAATTTAACCCCCTAGTCCTGAACATATCCTCAGACCCAATTCCCAACTTAAAGCATAGCAGTAACTTCAAGCATATTTTTAATCTTAAGCCCATCACCAACACCAGCAAGCAATTGTGCCCGTACCTCTCGAAATAACCGTAAACGTAATCCCGATCCTTCATATAACATACCAGATACATAATAAGTAGTATCAAGCCAGCATATCGGGCTTTTCAATTTCCTTAAAAATATAATGTGTAAGCTTGGATCCGTGCTGTCCTCATACTTATTGTTGAAAATCCTGGCCAACTGCCTGTTGTGGACCAGGGAGTGCGGTGGTACGTCTAGGTGTGGGTTTTCATCTTGCCAGCCACCTACGTCCTCTCCTGTCTCCGGACTTCTTGACTCTGTCTTAACACTGGGTCCAGGTAGGGGAGGAAGAGAAGGTGTGCTGGATGCTACGCAAGTCCTCTATAACGGCAAACTAAATCAAGCGCAAATCATCATGCCAGCTCTCACCTCGCTACGGTAGGCATCGGGACGAACTGTAACTTTTGCGTTTCTTAAAACTACGTGGCTATTCTGCTTATGCTGGTGACTTTCGACTCAGATAATCCTTTTAACTCTCAGGAGGAATCTGCGAAATGTTTATACCGAAGAATTTTGGTCAGATGTGGTTATGTAGTCCCACCTGAAGTAAACAAACGCCAGCCACCTGTAATACGGGACCGGTGGTAATAGGGGTTTATACAGGCGGGGTCGGGGAGCGCATAGGCGATGAGGTCAAGTAGTTGTATGCAAAAGAAATGTCATTGGGAATGCGCGGTTGTACTTTTGAGTGGTATATAGTTGCCCTAACCCCTAACCCCAACTCCAACCCCAACCCCAACATTACTGTGTCCATCAGATGGGTATACATAATCACATATTACCGAATTTTTCTCTTACTTCAAACATTAATTTTCGAGCAAGTTAAAAACGACAACACTGAAAACTGGAGTGTGTACCAGATAACACATATGGGAACGCTAAGGGACCCACTGATAATCCGAATCCCTGCTAGTTAACCATGCCTACTACTTCTCCGCCTCAGTTTGTTTTGGACAAGACGAGTGAAAAATAGGCACCTGCGTCAAGTTAGGCTTTTTCACTGTTCCGAAAAGTTGGAGCGACAGGCTTCGTCCTTGGAAAATTGACGGAGTCATCAGAAGTGCGGAACACGAAAGTGAACAATCTTACAAGATGGAGGACGACGGTCCTGCCTGTAATTTCCTAACTCTTCATTCATATTGACCTAACTGTGAAAAACTCGGCGCCTCGGTAGGATTCGAACCCACGCAGTAAGGAGAAGGCTTTAGCACAGCCAACGCTCTGACCACTTGAGCTACGAGACCCCGCCGGAGGACACGAATTTAATCACAGTTGGGTCAAGTTGCCCGCCCAACCTACTGCAACGTCTGGAATCCACCAAATCTGATGAAGTAAGTTGACTGCCCGAGCAGGATTTCCTAAGTAATTCACCTAGAATCTACCAGATGACTACCAGGCTCGAGTCGTCCGGCGGGGCCTCGTAACTTAGGTGGTTAGAGCGTTGGCTGTACTAAAGCCTTCCTCCTTACTGCGTGGGTTCGAATCCCACCAAGGCGCCGAGTTTTTCACAGTTGGGTGAATATGAATTATTCAAAATCTGCCAAAACATCTATGTATAACTCTTCATTGTAATTTTCACGTTGCGCAATGCATGGTATCCCGGCGAGGAGGGGGAGGAAAGCGAGGGCTCTTAGGTGTGCAGTCATAGGCATCCTGGCTCCCCAGAGGAGAATCTGACGCTTGCACGATTTATCAAAGGTACTAGCTAAAAGCCCATACACGCGTGTTTTGCCGATATCCTGCCGTTTCATGGCGCAGCTGCGAGGGATTCGGCTCATCAATGGGTCATCCGGTGTTCGCTATGTGCTTTTTGGTAGATACTCCAGGTTTTAAATTTCAGCCTTTTAAATCCCCCCCCCCCACAGAAAGTAATGCATTAACTTGCAGTAGCGCAGAACAGCATTATCGACAGATGCTAAGGATACTGGGATGGCCGCTTCAGGCTTTCCAGCCATACCCAACTCCGAGGTATGCAACACCCAAAGCTCGAACTAACACCCTATTCGTCAGTAGTCCAAGGTCCTAAACATTGAGCCACACGGGCTCATTGTCTTGTCGATTGCGCGGTGGGGACGAGTGAGTTCGGTAACGCGATCGGTGCGCGCTCCGCTATCGGGATGATGGATCAGTCGGAACTAAAATTCGCAGACTCAGTATGAAGGCTTATTTGAATATTCGCACCGGAATCCACCAGTTTCAGCAGAAAAGCCGCGTAATATTCAGCAACCGCCAACAGGTAGCCAGTAGTTTTCACATATTATATTATTTACCGTACTGATGGCACACATACTAGCTCAAAGCCCAGATGCGCGTGTTTCGCGGATATCGCGTCACTGTCTGACACAGCTATGAGGGGTTCAGTGCCTTCACATTCCGATTTTCCACAGACTGCAATGCACCAACCTCGAACAACTCCTTTCCGGTCTTGATTCGAAAGTTTGCATGAATACAAGGCGGCCCAAAAGTCACTTTCTTCTATTTGTGCTCGCTCAAATGAGTACTGAGTAACGTTTTCACAAAAAAAGCAGAATAAAAAGTTGCGACCGCCGGAGTATGAATTCTATTCGACTGACGTTTCGGATTCTCGCTCCAACCCATCATCAGAGACAGTCGCGCGGTCATGTTCGAACAGGTGATGGATCAAGGGTGACAGCTTCCCAGTGGTGAGCCAACCAACATTCCCGAAACGCCGACAATATCCCCAAATCTGTTCCTGCGAGCCATCCCTCCTTTTCAAGACGCATTATAGTGACGATGGCTTTTTGACGCATGCCTACTGGATGTCTGAGATTCTTCGCTTTTTGCAGTCTTCTAAAAAATAAAATTATGCCAGTTACATGAAACATTTTTCAGAATTCATCATCTTTGGACTCATTAGTGTATAGTACCTGCCGCCCCTTTTTCTAGGTAGTTCTGTGGTACTTCGACAAACGACTCAAGTACGAGGAAGCCTGAGCTACCCGAAGTTCGTCTGACATATTTAAAGAATTACTCGTCAAACCGGCCAGGGAAGCCTAAGCTCAAGGCCTGATGTTCCCGGTCCGAGAGAAACACAGCGTTCTGACGGCTGCTGAGTCCATCGACCGAGTTTCGGGACAAACAGTGTTTACCCCATCTCTCACAAAAACCTAACGCTAATTAGGACGCTGTGTATCGTCAGTCGACTACTGTCAAATGGGCCGCCATATGGAGCTATTAGTACTTACCCTAGGGTTTGTATGCGTCTGCTATGCCACGATTCAGCAACCCTTGGCCCTCACAGCCTGGTATGCACTGGCAGTTCGCTGACACCTGATTCCCTGCCGGCGGATGCGCTAGCGTTCCCGCTGGGTATACAGGTCATGGGCACGGCTGTCCAATCATCCTCGTCTGCTGTTGTGCTGTTGTTGGTCAAAATCCTGGTCAAGTGTTTGCTGTGGAGCAGGGAGTGTGGATCGGGTCGCCTAGGTGCGGGTCCGGCCGCGCCAGCCAACTCCGATCTCCTTGTCTATCTCTTGACACCGGCTCCAAGCGGGACTGGGGGGAGGGGAGAGTGTGGTAGATTCTGCGCAAGTCTACCCTCATTACAAACTAGTCCACATGCAAGTCGCCGTGCCTGCTTCAGCTTGCTGTGGAGCGCACAAGGGACATTGTCCAATGCGATGGCCGAACTGTCACTGTTACCTCTTTAAATGCAGTGGGAATCGGTCAAACAAGAGGTAATCAATTTTAGACGTGTCCACAAGACCAAAATTTCGCATATCATATCCAGAGGGGGAAAACCTTTACGACACCTGGCCTAGACGAAATGGCTCGATTAAGGAGTACACTACTTAGGCAGACTACAACCAGAGCGACGGACGTCCGTCTGAGACTGATGTTCACGAAGATCGGAATACCGACTGGCGCCAGAGTGACAAATCCTTCGAGAGGTAGGGGCCATCGGAAGCAACCATCCTCTTTCCATTAATGATTCCGTTCCTGTATGTTATATTGTATATTCCCGATCGAAACCGACAAGAACCGACCTGTTAGTTAGAAGTCCAACGCCTCTAACTAATTAGCCACGGGTTCGTTTTCTTGTCGGTTGCGATTGGGAATAGACAATGGTATAAATAAGAGGTCGCGGAATCAAGCCGCAGGTGTTCCACACTTCGGGGTTGGGTATGACTGGC